CCCAGTAAATGGCACTCTACAATCCAGGCAGACGCCAGAAGTCAGGCATGAAACAGTAGGACTCTCTGTCTCTTTCCTCAGTTTCATGGACACTCACAATTGGTTTTCAGACCCTGGGTCCAGGATTTTCTGGATCAGGAGGGAACTAAGGCAGGATTAGATGAGGGGAAAAATTGAGTTTAGACCCAATGATAGATTCCAGTCATTCCACAGGAAGCACTGGAGAGACATGGCTCCTCAGATTAGTGTCAAATTGGACCAAGACAACTGAGGCTGTATGCCTTCACACTGCTCAGCCATTGGGCCACCTTGGGATTGGAGGGAACCTCCCTAAAGAAGCCCTGTGCAGTGCAGGCATCCCTGATGGAATTGACAGCTGATGACCACCTGCTCACAGCATTCCCAGTAACTCCCACAAGTCCCTCATTGACCAGCATTTGGGTGGCATGGCAGAGTGCACACAAAACTAGAATCGTTAAGTCCCCATCCCAGCCTTCCCAGGCTTCGTTATTGGGGTTCTCCTTCCCTCCTCCCTGAATTGCCGCCACAGAGTGCCAGCTTCCCTCTCTGCTCACCACCTTCACCATTTTCCCAGACCATTTTCCACGTGGAGGCTGTGGTGACTTTCTAAACACAGATGCAACTGAGGCATTATTCTGAAAGCCACGGAAGGACTTCTCATTACCTGCAGGATTCAAGATTTCCACTACCCGCTTCCTGCTCTCTGACCCTGATGATCTACTTGCTCAAGGCTCTAATTCACGTATCTCTGGTTCTTTCTCTGACACATACCTTCCCCCTCTGACTTGATATCTTTCTTAGCTGATACTTTCTGTTCTGCTTTTCCAGACTCACCTCCCCCTAGATGAATGGATGAAAAAAGAAACGTGGCATATATACACCATGAAGTATTACTCAGTAATAAAAGAGAATAAAATCATGGCATTTGCAAGTAAATGGATGGACTTAGAGAAGATAATGCTAAGTGAAGTTAGCTAATCCCCAAAAATCAAATGCTGAATGTTGTCTTTGATATAAGGAGGCTGCTTCATAGTGGGATAGGGAGTGGGAGCATGGGAGGAATAGATGAACTCTAGATAGGACAGAGGGGTTGGAGCGGAAGGGAGTAGGCATGGAGTTATTAACGATGGTGGAATGTGATGATCGTTATTATCCGAGGTACAGGTATGAAGACACGAATTGGTGTGGATGTACTTTGTGTACAACCAGAGATACGAAAGATTGTGCTCTATATGTGTAATAAGAATTGTAATGCATTCCACTGTCATATATAAATTTAAAAAAAATAATAATAAAAACCCCATAACTCTTCTAGGTTAAGTTCAACATATTATTATAGCCTTTGTTATGGACTTTGTATTTCATAGCTTTACTTTGTTTATTTATTTTTTATGTGGTGTTAAGGATTGAACCCAGAACTTCACATGTGCTAGGCAAGAGCTCTACCACTGAGCCACAGCTCCACACCCTTGTTATGGACTTTTTGTAGCATTTTTAATATGAAATCCCAAATGTCTGTTACCACATATATCTCAATAAGAGGTACAGAAAGACATAGACATTTTCTTATTTTAACCCAACATAGAGGGGACTCTCAAACGTTTGCACAGTAAATGAATTAATCAAATAATAGTTTAAAAAATATACTCACTCATTTTTTTTCCTAGTTACCAACTACTGCTTTTCGGATATCTGGAGTAGAGTTTTCAGAAACAGGAATCAGTCTTCAAAATAAGGTTTACTTATCTGGATCAGCTCTGAACTTCCCAGTAAAAGTAAAGTGGGCTATGAAGTTTAGCCTACCAGCTACTGTGGCTTATTACTAAAGATCTTCTCCATGGTTGCTTATCAAGTATTTAGGGAAGGAAACCACGGATGGTTCTGACATCAGTCGTTAATTTACCCTTTGTCGTCTTTTTTGTACTCCGTGGAGTAAATGCCAGAAGTAGGACAGGGATTTGTATGGCCTTCAAGGGAGTCCAGAGCTGTGCGGATGTTGTCTTCTGCCATTGCTTTCTGGGCTCTAGATTCCTAGACTGGGTGAGAAATGATGTTAACATCTGAAGAATCTTCCTTGCCCCCGCTCAGCCCAGTATAGTCCTGACTCCACCCCTTACATGGTGTATCGGTTTGCTTTTTGTTGCTATAACAAAATAACTAATGTGGGTACTTTATACAGAAAAGCATATTTTTATTTCATAGTTTCGTAGCTCCAAGGGCATGGTGCTGTCATCTGCTTGGCTCTGATGAGGGCCTCTGGCTGCATCACGACTTTCCTAATGGCATTATGGTTGGAGCATGTGCAAGAGGGAGCCATCTCCTAGTAAGACAGGAAGCAAAAGAGATTCAAGGACAAGACTAGCTCTTTTTATAACAACATGCTTGTATGGGAATCAACCAGGATCCCATAAGAACTACATTAACCTCTTCTGAGGGCCGTGGTTTCAGGGACCTAATTATATCCCACGAGGCCCCACCTCTTAAAGGTTCTGCCACCTCAACACTGCCACACTGAGGACCAATCTTCCAGCACATGAACCTTTAGGGCACACACTCAAACCATATCCAAACCATAGCATTTAGCTTCCTCCTTGAAGTTAGAGACTCCTGCAGCAAGATAGAATCTTTTAAGCTAACACTGTTGACAGATATTTGTGCCCAGCTCACCTACAAATCACTACATTCTAGAAGGGGATTATACCCTTCATTAGTGGTCATCCTGTCCTCAAAGAGCCTTTCCTGAGAGACCTAGATGCAGGCACTTAGAGGTGGTTGTGTGAATGACGATGATTTTCGGTAAGTCTGCGCACCTTATTCATTTAGGATTACTTCTGAAAGGATCCTTAAACAGAATCCCATATTGCTTCAGATACCATTGGCTTTTTTGGAAGTCACAAAAAACTCTTTGGAAAACTTTAAATAATTTATTTTACAAGGCCATTCCCTGTCCTGGGAGGTTTTTATGTTGAATTCTATTAACAGCTTTTGTCTTCTGTTATAATGCATATATTAACAATTAAAAGCCATTTAAAATAATTGATTCCATTCACTAAAGCCAACAAATTAATTAACTGATGCATAATTAATCAGAGCAGCAAGGCATCCATTCTTCAGGGGCCAGCTAGGAAAGCTGTGATTTGTGCATTTATGAACAGAGTAGATAACAGGCTGCTGTGCTCTTTAGCCAGATACTGACACCATCAGGGTCATAACATAAGAGCCCAGGACTGTTCGGACCCCAGAAGGAGCTCTTGACTTTGCTGTCATTCTCTACACAAGCAAGTGTTGCACTATCGACTTGTCATCATGGGATGCCATAGCAACAGTAAGACCATAGGCTCTGTGGCTTGAATGACATGCATCTATTTCTCACATTTCTGAAAGTTCAACCTCAGGGTGCCTGCAGATGCCCGTTCCTGTGACAGCTTTCTTCTCAGAGAGCAGACTGACCTTGTCACTAGGACCTCACAGGGTAGAGAGCGTGGGTATCTCTTTCTCTGTTCTCTCTTTCTCTTTATTTAAGGACATCAATCCCATTATATAGGTTCCCCTCTCATGTTCTTATGTTATTCTAATTACCTCTTGAAAAATCCATCTCCAAATACCATCACCTTGGAGGTTAAGGCTTCAACGTATGAATTTGGTTAGGAGGAGGAGCCCAAACGTGCAGTCTATCACAATTATGCTCAGCTTTGGGCTCAAGATGGACTCAGAACTATTGAATGTCAGAACTGGAGGGTACTTAGAGACCATCCTGGTCCATGGTTCAGAAGATACCAACACATGCAAATTGTGATCCAAAGGGAATACCTGTCTGTAATTTGTTTCTGGCTCATGTGGAGATGAATCCAAAAATTGAGATAAAGCATTTACAAATGATAGCAAATTGACAGTGCAGCTCTATATCTGTTGGACTCGATATTTAAAAGTTAGAAGTTATGTTTTGATGTCCTTTCTCATAAATCATTTTGTTGTGCTTAAAATAAATGTCACTATGTAAAGGATTATAAAGTATAAAATCAAAGCAAAACCAAACCAAACTGGTTTTTTACTGCAGATATTTCCAGAAGTACCACCTTAGGTTATGCAGAGATATTTAAGCCCAAATATTACAAAAATAGTGTTTTGGTTTGAACATGTTCTAGGGGGGAATAACATAAGTTCTGACATCCCCTTGCAACTGAGTTAGAAGAGATTTGAGCTGCCTTGCATTTGTCTCTGGAGGTACAACTCTGCTCTGCAGAGTTCAAAGCTATCTAGAGAATGAGATGAGCAAAGATACATCAAAGCCATGTAAGCTGTAAATAACACAGCTGCACTGATACTCATTATGAACACATGTCTACTGAAAGGGTCATGAGTTAACTGTGAAAAGTCACATTTTCGTACAATCACCAGCCATAGCTGTACATTAGAGTGCATTAGAGTACAGCACAGCGAATTAATGTCCTAGTTCAGATAACAAGTGGCAAGGACTGAGGACCTACATTTGGGGGCTTTTAGTGAAAATAAACCTAAGCAACATTATTGGGGAGAGTGAAATGTTCATGAAGAGGTAGTGTCCTGGTCCCATTTTCTGTTACTAATAACAACCTATAGAAGTAGTGAGATGAAAGAAAAGAGGTATATTTGGTTCGCAGTTCTGGTCCCAGGTGGAAAGGATACTCTGATGATGGCCTTCTTGCTGGTAGAGTCCTGAGATGACACAGAGAATTGCATGGTGAGAGACAGGGAGCATGCAAGACTTCTACCAAACTGACTTTTATAGTAGATCCAATCTCAAGATGAATCATTAATCACAGCAATGGATTAATGTGCTCATGAAGGCAGGGGTCTAATCACCTCTTACAGGTCTTAGCTCTTAATACCTTACATGGGGATTAAATTTAAGTGAATTTTGCAAGGGATAAACCATATCCATACCATAGCAGGTAGTTAGCTATATTCAGTATTTTACTAATAAACGTGAGAAGAGTGCTGGGAGTGTAGCTCAGTGGAAGAGCGTGTGCTTAGCATGCATGAGGCCCTGGGTTCAAACCCCCAGCACCCTCCCTGCAAAAGTGAAGAGTCATCATTCTGACTTGAAGTGATCCTAAAAGTCAACTCTAATTTGTCCTTGCATTGTGGTAATGAGAACACCTTCCTGCAAGTTTGCCTAAAGCCTTATTTTGTGCTGTCATACCTCTAACAGATTTTGTAGTTCTTTGGATTGGATTCAAGGTGGGACTGTCCTAGTGATTTATAGGATATCCTATATGCACAATAGACCATATGGGATGACTCCCCACAAAGCCATACATCATTCCCTTCCTTGAATTTCTGCTAAGTACTAGAGTTTTGACTTGGGAATGAAGAGGACCTGTGGTTTGGTTTTTGTGCATGAGTAGTTTTGAAATATGATCTCGAGATTTTGAAAAGTGAAACCGCTATTCTGAAAATAAAAGTTGCTTAATGCAAAACTGATCCCATGTTGCTTTATCATAGAAAAAAATGACATAAATAGAAGAGAACATAAATCACTTGAGATTGTACGTGGGATGCAGTTAGTCACATGAATGGAGATAAATCTAATTTACTGAATTAGGAATATTATATTTTCAAAACCCAAGCGAGTGGCTTGATTTAACATATCGGACACTTTTTAAGTTACACTAATAACAATGGAGAATATCAGTAGTGAGAAAAAAAATTAGAGAGAGCTAGATTCAAATGTTAACACCACCACTTTCTAGCTATACAGCCTCAGATGTTTATTTAAACTCTGAGTCTCAGTGTCCAAAGGTGTAAAAGGAAAGGTTAATGAGTGACTCACTGTAACAGTTTGAATCTGGAATGTCCTCCGAAGGCCCATGTGTCAAAGAACTTGTCCCAACTGGGAGGTGGTGGAACTTTTTGGAAATTGGGCCTCGTGGGAGGAACTTAGGACACTGGGAGTGCCCTTGAAAGGCTATTTGGACCCCAGCCCCTTCCTCTCTCTCTCTTTGGCTTCCTGCCCACCATCATACGCTCCCACCATGATTCCGTGTCTTGTCACAGGCCCCAAAGCAATGAACCAAATGACCACAGACTGAAACCTCTGAAACTGAGCCAAAACAAAGCTCTGCTCTTTTTAAGTCAATTTCTCACAGGTATTCCTTACAGTGGTGGAAAGCGATTAACATGCTCACATTTACAGAACTCTTTTTATATCCTAGTCTCTGTGCTAATATTTGTGTATTTTTTTCCACTGGACCTTACAACAGATCTTTGAAGTTATGTAATATGATGACCTGGTTTCCAGATTGAAACATGCAACTATGGTAGCTCTAGAGAAATATATATATATATATATAAAGGACTTCGCCTTCTGCCTGATATATATAGTAGGTACTTAAAAAATGCAGTCATTAAATCTATTTATTATTATAGCTACTGTTGTGACAAAACTAACATGGGAAGTGAAAACCACAAGCATTTGGCCTTGGCACTCAACTGTCCTTCTGCTAGAAGAATCTGCAACTGCTCTGCCTTAAGGGTACATTAAGGAGGCCACAGTCTCCAGGCCCCGCCTCACCTGCGAGCATTCATCAGTAAGAAAAGTAGGTTTACTGTCAGGTAAGTTCTAGATAGAAAATAATTCTAGGCATAACCAGAAGGTTTCATGATGTCCCACATACCTCTTGCCTAAACTCATCTTAGGGTAACTTATGCTATTCATTCTACTGGGACAGCAACAAAGCTTAAATATGCAAATATGCAGGAGAAGCGTACAAAATAATGTGAATAAATGCCAGATGCACAGCATAAAATGATATTAGAGCTTAATAGATACAACAGAAAGAGACAGGGATATAGAAAAACAATGGTTACCTGGCATGGGTCAGAAGATGCTATTGAAAGAAAAATCGACTCAAAACAGGGATACACATGGCTGGCACTGCCTATCTTCACCTGTGTACAGATAGGTTACATTTTCAGCAAAGGGAAGAAACCTCTAGAAGAAGTTAGCCATGCTTTAATGAACCTTCATGGGAACCATACTTGCCACCTTGCCCAACCATATCCTCTTGGGGCGGCACACCTGGGTATATGTGTGATCATGTAACTTCCCCTCCACACCTCTCCCCTTCAACTTTTTTTGTTTGTTTGTTTTTTGTTTTGGTATTAAAGATCAAACTCAGGGGTGCTCAACCACTGAACCACATCCTCAGCCCTTTTTTGTATTTTATTTACAGACAGGGTCTCACTGAGTTGCTTAGGGCCTTGCAAGCTGCTGAGGTTGGCTTTGAACTTGTGATCCTCCTGCCTCAGCCTCCTGAGCTGCTGGGATTACAGGTGTGTGCCACTGCACCCGTCCTCTTCAATTTTACTGCATGTGTATCCGTCAGCTTTTTATTGTTATGACAAAATACCTGATACAATCAACTTAGAGGAGGAAAAATTTACCGTGGCTCCATTTCAGAGGTTTCAGTCCATGGTTGACTGGCTCCATTGTTTCTGGGTTCTGTGGGAGGCAATACATCATGGTGGAAGGACAAAGCAGAACAGAGTTGCTCACTTTATAGCAGCTGGAAGGACAGAGAGAAAAAGAGAGAGAGAAAGGGGTCGGGACAAGACATAGTTCCTCCTAGGACAGGACTCAAGCACCCACTCCCTTCGACTAGGCCCCCCTCCTACAGTTTCCCCCACCTGGCAATAGCCCATTCAGCTATGATTCCATCAATGGAGTAACCCACTGATGAAGTCAGAGCCCTCATGACCCAATCACATCCCATGCCCCACCTCTGGACACTGCTGCCCTGGGAACCAAGCCTTCAGTGCAGGAGACTTTGGGATGATTCCAGAACCAAACCATAACATTGTGCTGTGGTTATCAAAAGAAGTTCTTTGAGTTCAAACCCCAGTTTACTACCCAGCTTCTAGACTTTGGGCAAATATTCACCTTCAAGAACAGGGAGCTCAGGAGGCAAAAAAAAATAAAAAAGGATTGGATGTCCACTGTGAGCTGGGCAGGTAGGTGGTGTGCAATGCATTATTCATCTTCCTTTGAAGCCTCTCCCAGCCTCCAGGCCATGGGGCAAATCAATAGAAAATTGTCTGAGATTTGATAGGAGGAAAGATAAAAATAAAAACCAGATTCACTTTCTCTCCTTTTCTCACCATCTCCCCACTTGCTCCCCGGCCCAGGAGGCTTTGTTGGGGACAGAGGGACCCTGTGAGGCTGAAAGAGAGGAGAACAGGCAGAGCCTTGTCCTCAACCCTGCAGGAGCTCAGCACCCTGAAGCCCTTCAAAGATGCCCTTCCTGCCTTTCCCTTTGCTTTCTCTTTAGATGAGGCCATCCCGGGCCTCAATCTGCCAATCTGCAAACTGAAAGGTGGCTGACAACCATTTACTTAACGTGGATGATAATGAGCTCAACGTTCTCTTTCCAGGTCTCTCTAAGCATCTCTTACACCATGATCCCCCAACACATCCCAAGAAGAAGATAAATGAGAACTTTGGGGGCCTCCCATAGGCTGCAGTCATCGGATGGCAAAACCCATATTAGGTAACTCAGTAAATATACTTTAAAACGAAGTCAATAAAAAGTATCCAAATGACTACTGCATGGTCAACCCTTGTCTGCTGAGCATCTACTGTGTGCTAACTAATGTTCCCGGGAGGGATCAATTTCATATTCTTGTTCTGGAGAAATTCATAATATTTTATAAAGAGATAAATATGTGAACCCAAATAACTCAAGTTCAAGGATAAAGGGGTAAAGTCCACAAAAAGAGATACAAATTAAGTATTATATGATTTTAAAGGAGACAGAGTTAACTGAAGTCTGGAAGTCAGGACACACTTACACCTTAAATGCTTCTCATAGGAATAGCTTTGTGAAGAGGGAGTGGCTGGAGATGAGTTTTGAGAGGAGATAGGATGGAGATCCATGAGGATGGTATGGAGGGGTAGAGAAGGGGGAGGGAGGGAATTTACCAGAGGAGAAGCAAGGAGAAGAAGTCCAGGTAGGATCCCTGGGCAGAGAGTGGTGCCATTAGATTAGCTTGGTTCAGAGCAAGAAGGTCATAAATGTAGGTGGAATCTTAGAAAGTCTTGAACTCTAGGCTGTGTATTTTAGGCATTAGAAAACATGGAAAGTTTTGCAGCAGAGACTGATATGTAGGAACTGAGTGGAATGAGAAGGGTGGAGAGGAGAATCTGGTTCAAATTCACATTAGAGAGCATGGTGGCTACAGTTGTCAAGGGGACCAAAAAAGGATTAAAGGCAGAAGAATCTCCCATCCTTCCAGGGAATTGCCCCTACTTGTTCCTGTTGCTCTTGTGCAATGATCAATAAAGTTCTCTACTGGGTAAGCGTACCAGCATAGAAAACGAATTATAGCTGTCTCTCAGTATCCTTGGAGGATTGCTTCCAGGACCCCCTGTGAATAACAAAATCCAGGAGGCTCAAGTCCTTTATTTAAAATGGCAGAATATTTGCATATAACCTACACAATCTTCTCGTATACTTTAAATCATCTCTAGATTACTCGTAATGACTAATTCAATGTAAATGCTATGTAAATCGTTGTACTGTATTGTTTAGGGAATAATGATGATAAAAAAAAAAAGTTGTCTGTGCGTGTTCCGTATAGACACATTTTTTTTCCCCAAGTATTTTCTATGCATGGATGGTTAAATCTGCAGATGTGGAGCTCACAGATAAAAGAGGGCTGGTATCACTGATAAACATGTGATCCTGAGTTGACCAAGTGGAAGGATGTGACACACACAGAGAGAAAAAAGATTTGGGGGTAAAAAAGTCTGGTTTGGGATATACTAAATTTGAGGTAGCGTTTGGAAAACAGATAGCAACAATAATAGCAGCTAATATATTTTGAGTGCTTACTGTGAACCAACCAGAATACTCACTCATTTAACTTTTTTTTTTTCCCCTTTGGTGATGCTGGGGATTGAAGTCAGGACCTTGCTGCATATAAGGCAGGCACTTTACCAACTGAGTTACATCCCCAGCCCTCATTTGCTCTTCATTATAACTTAATGAGGTAGGTTTGATTACTACTCTTAT